TTATAATCAAGATCTGTTAAACCCATAAAAAGTCTTTTTGCTTCATTATATTCAGCTGACTTTTGATTTAGGCACTGCTGTTGTAAGCTTGAAGAGTCATTGCTTTGCAATAACGATTCACGCAAACGTTTTTTTTGCTTCACTAGACAAACTCATTTTATTGATTTGTATATATGCGTTGTTTGTATATGCGTTATTTGATTTAACAAAAATTATATATGTACTATTCTTTTGTAACTATAATAACCAGTAGATAAATCTTTAAAATAAAATTAATTATTTCGTAAAGAATTCTTTACACATATCATGCCAAGAAAAAATATAAATTTAATTGAAGTAATTAAGTTTAATGGTATTTTCTATTGTCCATATATTCATAGAACTGGAAAAATCTGTGATTGATATAGTTATAAACCAGAAGGATGTCATATTCATCAGAAATCTCCAGTATATACCCCTTGTAGAGATTGTGGTAAATTAAATCGTTCCAAACACAACGCATGTAGTGATCACGTAGGCAAGTATCAAAGTAGAGAGAATTATTACAGAAAAAAACAGGATGAATTACGTACAAAAATTACTATGCTTGAGAATCATACACCTGTCTTATTTGAATCAAGACACGAAATATAATCATGCGCTTGACATTTATCAATTATTTTTTTGAGGATTTCTTTAAGCGAAGCTATATCCTCTTTAATACCTGCTATATTTTGCGCAATCTTATTTCGTAGAGCTACGGATTCCAAAACTTTTAGTTGATCTCGTGTTTTACTCGAGCCCATTTTCCGATAGAATTACATTAACCGCGATCCATTCAATTTTTGATATGGGCATACTGACTCGAGATAATTAATTTCGATTTGAAAAAGAATCTCCATAATATATATCAGACGAAAGTAGTCTATATAAAACATCTTAAACATCTCAACTATTATATGTGTCAAAGACACTAGCTCCGCTATACTAACCATGGCAAAAATCGCTACATCATTTGTAAATCGCTACATCATTTGTAAATCGCTACATCATTTGTAAATCGCTATATCATTTGTAAATCGCTACAAATTGACTCCTCAAACTAGTTTACCCCAACTTAGTAGTTATACCGAAGGGTTGACTAGAAATCTTTCGGATAGTAAGACAAAAGAGTAGGTTCGAAAAGCCAGAGATCAGGCCAAAAGACGCTTCCAACAGTATACGTGTTACCCAAATCCCAAATCATTTGAGATTTGGGACGCCAAAATCCCAAATTACTAGTATTTGGGATTTGGGATTTGGGATTTTGACAAAAAATACTAATCATAATTTGGATTTTGGAATTTGGGATTTTGGCATTTGGATTTTGAATTTGGGTGGTAGGTATATTCAACAGTTGGGGTTGAGCAAGGAGCAAGCAAATGCTCTTATTCCTATTCGAGCTCCTGGGAGACGGTTTGAAGAAAGAGATCCCATTAAGGCTATTGCGCAAAATATTATAAAAAACAATCTCTCATCTGAAGAGATAAATGGAATAGCATATGACTTGACTTCTTCTGCCCTCACTACTGTTGCGGGAAATTCTCGTCTTAATTTATTACAGAAAGAATTGCGTAGCTTAGGAGTTGATTATCTCATCACTGAGACAACGAAAATACTTTTTATTACTGAAGAAGCAAATCAGATTCAAGCAAGAAAACACATACTTCATGGGATTAATGGTTACGATTGTCCCGAGTTCTTTTACCTGAAAAAAAGTCCAAGAAAGACTTAACGAATGTGATATTATCAGGTCTCCTTCGATGCAAAATCTAGTAGATGTGATGGTAATACTATGTATGCAGTCAGCAGAAGTAAAAACTCTTCGTATCAATAGATACAGACCAAGTCGTGAATCATGATATAATTCTGACTATTCTTGATATTGCACTGGTTATGCGAAAAATAAAGGTGAAGTAGAAGAACCCCAGCCATTCCTTTCAATGGAAAAAAATCCAATACGAACAAATGAATTGCTTATCTGAGTTCAGAAATCAATACCAGATAAATTTCCCTTCTTGTTAAAAGATAAGGATGGAAATACTAATATTACATCTCTTAATCAATTTTTGAGTTGTCATAAAATTACCTCATCTATATTAAGAAAAATAGGTGCCAATCATGCTTCTAGAATACATGGAGGTAAGAATGATACTGGCCATTAAAATTTACGACAATTGGCATGTAGGCATAAGATAGGTCATGCTTCATCAATCGAACATTATGGTGTGATTAATGATAGACCAGTTACTCCAGTGTCTAGGCCAATCCCTCCTATGATTAAACAAGAATATGATGAAATTAAAGATATCTAGCCTGATAAGGCGCCACTAATGTGGCATAATTTATATGAGAATATTTAGGCTCGAAGAACTATTGCTTTGCAATAGATTAGTAGTTATTAATTATCAGATGCGATATCATTCTCACTCTGTAAGTCACTATCAAATAAATCATAGGTTTCAAATTTTTTTATACAATGTAGTATACAATGTCCAGCTCCTTCATCAATACAACAATGATTTCTACAACAACCTAGTTTATTTAGTATATGTTTTTTACAATAACTTCCTAAATCAGGGTCATGGAATAATTTATTACATTCTTAACATTTATCAAAGTAATCTAAAAATTTACTTTTATTAAGTTTTTTTACTAATTTTTTTATATAACGGAATTCACTTGTTTTCCCATAATCTTTAGGTATATTATCATCTGAATTGAGATACTCCACTGAAAAATTAATTCCGGCATCTTTCATTACTTTAAAATCAAAAATTTGATCCATATTGTATTTGTGAAAACTTGAGAATTCTATATAATAATAATAAAATTAATTGTGTAAATATCAAAACCTTGTGAGATTTCATCTCTATGATGAAAATTAATTACTAACTGTACTTCTTTGCTACATGTATATTAAGCTCATCACCGGAACCTGAATCAAATTCAGATTAAGAGTCGAATTCAGATTCGGATGAAGACGAGGATGAGGATGGAGATGCGGTATCATTTAAAATTATCTTTTTTCTTTTAGCCTTGTATAGTGTACATTTTCTTTGAGAAATATCTGGGATTGCTATCGAGTTCACAATTTCTTGTCGAATCTCGGGTTTCACTATCTTCAGTAATTGGCGAATAGAAATCTGAATTTTTTTACTAGACATTTGCTTAACAATTCTGGATATCGCTCTATTGGTATTCTGAGATAGGGTATCCTTATTATTTTTTCAACCCATTTGTTTAACAAATTCTTCGGTTATAGTTGACCAGTTAGCGCCTGAATCAATAGTAGGTTTAGTTGTTGTCGATGTCATAATATGTATCTTGACACTAGCTTTGCTATTATTTATTAATACGAAGTAAAAAATATATTACTGCATATATTATTAAATATAGAATCACAATAATAACTTTATCTTACGAAATCAGGTCCTTGGGTAGCTCTATAAGTCATAAAGTACCAATAACAGTTATACTAGATTCCAGTACTAATTATAATATTATTGACGAGAGTATAGCAAAAATAATAAACTTAAAAATTGATAATACATTTGATACAGAAATATACAGTCCTATTAGCAAGCCCAATATATTGGGAATAATTCGTGCAATGGAAATTTCAGTCCTGTCTCAAGATCGAAAATGGGAGCAAATAAAAGTTACCAATGTTTTCGTTACCAATAAATCCAAACTTGAATTTGTACTGGTATTGGGTCAGCCATAGTTTAAAGATAATACAATGGAATTGGACTTCCCAAATAAAATTCTTACACTTCTTGATGGAACTACTATACCATTAGTTATTGGGTCAGGAATTCTGCTGCCTACACAACACAATCAGTCCGTGGATGAATATGTCAAGACGATAAAGGTATATACCGTATCATTGGGTATCAACTTAAATAATCAAGACCTTAAGGAGACTTTCTTCAATGGTCTATCACGAGAAAATAAAAAAGAAGTAATTCGATTCGGGTTTAAAAATTCTCCAAATGAAATAATTGAGCGTTTAAAATTTATTTCAACTGGATCTACTGATATTCAAAAATTCCGATTTGGAAAATTGGAGTAAGGAAATGAATCAGTAATGGACTATTTTGCAAACGTAGAAAAATGTGGTAAATTAGCTAAATACAATAGAAAACAGCTTAGATATTTCTTTTTTCGTGAATTGTTACCTGATAACTAAATGGAAACCAGAAGATACGGATTAGAGCTTCCATTAGATGAGTTAGTAAAGAGGTTAAGCACATTGGAAAGACTTGCCAGATAAATAAGAGAATACGCAATTATCTGAATATGTGTCTTTTTTCTGATTAAAAATATATAATAATATACAACTTAAGAATGGCACAACTATTGCGAAGCAGGCCGTTAGGTGATTCAAAGAATCATGACTCAAAGGGTTTAAATATTTTTGATTTATCAGAATTGCTAGAACAGATCTTATACTTTTTAGAAATCGATCGATCTCTCTACTCCACTTTATTTGTTAGCCGTTTATGGTATAAGTGTGGCATACCACTACTATGGGGAAGAGTTAAGTTAAAAGGTAATGATATCTATTACAGTCATTATTTTCCAAGTGAGTATAATTATTGTGGAGAATATCGAACACGGTTAGAAAGTTTCATAAAGTTAATATGTAGGAAGACAAAATCAGTTTATGCCTCAAATTTGGAAAACTTAAAAATTACATATTATCATTCAATTACACATAAATTAATTGGATCTATCATAAATTACTGTTCAAATATAATTCATTTAAACTTTAAAAATAGCGTGGGCGTTAGTGATGGGACATTAATTAAAATAGCTTCTTCATACCCAAATTTAAGATACCTTAATTTATAGAATAATCGAATGATATCTGATAGAGGGCTATGTGAGATTGCGCAAACATACAATAAATTAGAATATCTAAATATTTCTTACTGTAGAAGTATTACTGATAAATCATTAATAACAATTGCTGAATCATGTCGTAATCTGCAAGAATTTTATTTTAGTGAAACATACTGGATTACTGATAAATCGATAAGCCATATCTTAAATTCATATACTAACATACAATCTTTAGACATTACATTTAGCCATGAAGAAATCAAAGATGCTGATATGTTAATACAAGCACATCTCAAAATAGAATATCTCGATTTCGCCAGTGTTATGGCTTTTCAAAATGATTCTCTTATTGTAACTATTATCAGATCTTCTCCAAATTTAAAATGTTTTAATATTTCTGGTAATGATATTGGAGATAAGGTTGTTGAAGCAGTAGTTAATACATGCTATGAATTGGAATATCTTGATCTTGGAGGGTGTGGATTTATTACCAAACTATCAATATATAATGTTATTCGTTTTTGTTCTAAACTTCAGTATCTTGAACTTGAATTTTGTGACATTTCTGATTCAATCATTAAAGAAATAGCTCGTTCGTGCCTTAATTTAAAATATCTTGATTTGGATAGTTGTAAAAATATTAGTAAAGAAGTTATAAAACGACTTAATCCGAGTATACATATAGAAAATTACGATTCATCAAATGAACTGTCTGATTCTGAATCCAACTTCGTCGCTTCTGATGATGATACTTCAGATTCTAATCCAAATGTCAACTCACAGAGTGAGGACCCACCTCCACTTATCTTAACCTTTACTGATATATTGGATGAAAACAGATTTATTTCTGAGTTTATTAACCATATCATATTAAATTCAGACACAGAGTTTCCTGCTTTGCAGACTCGATTAGAATGAAGTAATTTATTAAATAGTCTTATTCGAGCTACTCATCATTCATGGCAAGAGCTTAGAGTGGATAAATATTTATTGTTAACTTTTTTTCAGCAAAGATATATAATATATAATATAAATTATTATCATGAAAGCGAAAATAGTCAAAGCTAAAGTAGAGGATCAAAAAGTTAATTGTTACCTTGAACTGGGTTTTCACGGTCCTTCCATGTGTAGTGATAAGCTCCTCAAAAAAATCAGAGGCAAAATTAGCAGAAAGCTGACTTCCAAAGAAAAAGATAGTAAATTCGTCAGAGAAGAAACCATAGCTCCACTTGAATTGGCCATAATCCCACTTACCTTTACTTCTAATATAAAAAATAATCTCCATCTTAGTAACAAGAAATCTATCACAATTTCAACTGAAGTGCTTGTAGAGGAATATGGCCCTAAAACACCTAATTATATCCTGCTTGGTAATAATTGGTTCTATGGCCAAAGCAGAATTAATGATAAAATCCAACATTATTTATCAGAAATAGTGACAGATGCAAAAAATGCTTTTGTAAAAACTACATTGCGTATCAAAGATCTTAAAACCAAAAAGAAGCCAAGGGTTATAGTATCCATTGATAAAAGAGATATTCATGATTTTTACAAATCACTTCCTGGGAAATCAAAAGATGAGTCAAAGACTCGAGAATCTGTTTCTTCACTATCCCGCGGATCAAATATCTCTGCAACTTCTGATTCAGACACTTCTGATTCAGATACTTCGGACAGTGATTCAGGCAATTCTTCTACATCCAGTTTGGGAATAAAAGTTATACATATGACGCGCCCATTCTAAAGTGTAAAGTAAAAGGTAAAGTTAATTATCGAGCTTTACATTAATGCATCCGATCTTAAGGAAAGTAAGTTTTTTAATTGATGTATAAAGCATGACCTAGATAACTGATTTTTTCGTACCCGTTGCATACCACACCCAAATTTGAATCGAGTAAATATGTAAATATAGGTAATATGTCTAAGTCTCGAAATAATATGTGTAAAACGATGGGTAAGTTCACTGATAGTCCATCCCAGTATATGAATCTGCTTAATCTCCATAAATATGAACACACGTATGACCCGAGGAATAACTTTGTGGTGGTTGAAAATAAAAGTAAAAGAAGTATAGTAGGTGTATTTGATTATATTGAACTATAGCGGAGCTAGTGTCTTCTACACATATGTATACTTGGAAATACATCACCCGTTGCTTCTGGCATAATTTCGTTTCGTAGTAAGTTGTTTTAACTGCATTTATAAACCGCGATCATGATAATCATATTTTTTACGTATTACGTAGCATGTTTCTATTACCCGTGATCGGAGCATGTGTTTGAGGCACACGGGGTGCGGTGTTTTCAACACTTAACGTGGATGCGAAGTCGATCAGGCACATAGGTGCCCTTGCTTTGCATGTGAGGGGTCAACGTGGTACTAGTTAATCGTGCACGGACTAAGAATAAACTTTATTTCGGAAAACTGGTAGAATGGGTATTGTTCCGGTTTAATTGATAGAATAAACATTTTTTGGTATAATTGATCACAAATACATTATGGTATCGAATTCACACTATAAATAAAGTTACAATCGACAGAGTAACGAATATTTCAATTAACCAAATTTTATACACACTCTTTATTGTTATAATGAAAATGTACCGAAAAGTTTATATACATTTTTTGGCGTAGTTATCTTTACAACGTAATTCTTTTATTTCTAGCAAATTCCAGCCTTAACATGAAATAGTTTCTGGTGGATTCCAGTCCTCGCAAGAAATGCATAAAAAAATAATGATCGACGATTTTCTCTATAAAAGATGAATTTTTTTTCGTTATCTCAACCTTCTGCAAAATCAGAAATAATAGTGTCTTTGACACATAAAGTATAACGAAATAATTAATAAAATTTTGCAGTCGTCTTTGAAATAAAACTATCGAATTCATCACAGAAAATAATCTACTTAGCTTTGTTTGAATTAAGGTATCCTCGTTGTGATTAAATGCCCGTGCTTCCCCACGATTAATAACGGAGTTAGTGTCTCTGACACATATTCTAATCAGATTTTCTTTTCTCACGCAGATGCATTCATTTAACATTTCGGAGAATATGCCTTTTATAGCATTAACCGCTTCATTGTTTTTCTTCCTCGTGACGATATTTCCCGAACACGTTCATCTGTGCTTTGGGATTGTTGCAACATGCTTCTTTTTGTACTATGTCATGCAAAATCTCATTGCAGAAATCAGCAGAATTAGAGCCGAAATTAATTCTCGTGATGCTAACTACGTGTTGGAGGCGCAGAATATTATTTCCATGATTAATAATCTAACTGGAGAACATAACGAAATCAAATGGGTTCTAGAAACCTACTATAATAATTTTAATCAAATTGCAACTGAATTCGAAACAATCGGTAGAAGAATTGTATCACTCCAGAGTGAGAATAATCAACGTTATGCTCTTACCCAGAGCACAAACAGGAGGGGGTCTGATCAACCAAGCGAGGCTTCATCATTCTCTGCCCATTTTTCATCTTCTACCAATTCATCTCCAAATTCCTCAGGTACAGATCGAGCCGAGATGCGCGAAATATATAACAAGAAAAATTTACTAATCATTATTCTTGATTGCAGAATCTGAACGAATTCAATATACGGATATTACCTTAACAATTTGCTCCTGCTTTAAAGAAATCTTCGATAGGGTCGCGGCTGAAAAAAAATATACCTTTGATGAAATGTGTTATAGTGTAGCGATGCGCATTCGTAAACTTGGAGGAAATGTTAGACAGTCTACAGTTAAAAATTTTTATAATAGAAGTAGTGATTGTAAAGCTAGCACAGTTAATGAAATAGGTAGATGGTTAGACAGTATGGGGTAGGGAAAGGAACAGCCATTTCTTTATAATGTAAAGGGGCCTAGGATCCGGCTTATTCCTCCCTCTTAGCTTTCTACTCCATACTTCTATCCACTGGATTAGCCTTTTATTGCAGAGCAATGACCCTTTGGGTCTACATTGTAGTTTATAGCGTTTTAAAAAATAATTTTACAGATATGTGTATTGCATAGCAATGAAGCTCCGCTCCCAGAGACACGAGACTTCGTCTCTTAATAAAGCAATTATTTGTTATTTTTATTCGTGTTTCGCAAGTATAAATAATTGAATTTTAATCCGCATGCATGTGTCATAGAGCTCCAAGGAGCAACCGCATGTGATCGCAGGAAAATGATTTATGCATTGTAGTTAAAAATTTGTACGAATTGATTATAAGTTTTCTGGTAAGCTCTGTATAGCGATTATAACTTTCTTTTGATCGATACGAAAAGGACAATTAAGAAAATAGTGATCGTCTTTACCTAGACAGCTCCAGTCGTCCCATATACCTAAACGAGTATGTACATCTTTGCATATCGGACATTTAGCTTCTGAATCGGTATATTTAAATACATCTCGATGCCATGCATTCGATTTAATATATTTTAAAAGAAATCGTTTTTCCACTGCTTCAATAATTACATCTTTCTCTTCTGGAAATTTAGAAATCTTAATAATACAGTCTTGCGAAAGATGATTATCAGCATTTTCGATTTGTTTAGATTCGGAAGTTTCAGAGTTTATCCAGGGATCAAGCCCAGTTTTATTCTTATATCTATTATAGAACCTAGAACGAGTTTTATCTGACAAAATGCTTAGTAATTCTAATTTGGCTTCCCACTCCAAATATTCGGGAGTTAATGTATTCATATTGTCGTTTTATATAATCTCGCATCTCTTTAAATTGGTAATAACCGACAAAAAAAATAATATACAGCGAGGTCGTGTCCAGATTAATATGGTTAGCTTCAAATGATGCAATCACGAGAAGGCGGGTTTATGCTGTTATCTCGATTTTAATTCCACGCTGTTCACATTTAATAAAATAGGATCCATTTTTATATCTGCCTTCTATACCTTTATCCTCATAATGATCAGACTTGCATAGCGGGCATAAAGATTCATCCGTAATCCCATAATAATCTTTGTTTCCATCTCTGCCTTCCCAAAATAAATCAGGATATTGCTCTGCCATTTTATTACGGAAATCGGCACGTTTATGTGTAGTATTTACCTTAGTTGAATCTTTCGAATTTGTTTCATCATCATCGGAGTCATCGTCATCAGAAGATTCTTTCCCATTGCCATCAGAGGATTCCGAGTTAGAATCTGAAAAGCTATCAATTATAGTTACGGCTTCTGAAAATTCGTTATTTTCATTTACTATATCTACCTCTGTCTCCGGTAAAGATTTAGATGCAATAGCATCCTCATTTCGTGAGACTTCCTCAATTATCTTATCTTCTGAATTGTTGGAGGCAGACACGGAGTGGTTAGAGGTATGGGATAATGGGATAGAGGGAGTGGTCTCTGGTGAAACCTTTTCAGGCAATATACTTACCTCTACATTAATCTGATCGTGACATTTTGTCACGGTTTTTGAAGTCACTTCATTTATGATATGCTGAATTTGAGTATCTTTCAATCCCGAAATTGTACTTGCACTATATGTAATGTATTCGATTTTATCGATGCCTACTCCTCTATCACCAAATAGCTTAAGAATTTTTCTCGCTCTTTCGGTTTTCTTACGCAAATTTGCATCTGTAATGTTAGGTAGAAAAGGTTTCATTTCCTTATATATTTTTGATCTTGCTGTTTTATCTTTAATCTCGCCATCTGCTGTAAGGCTTTTAACCTTATTTTCGAATTCTAGAGAATAATAATACCAACATAAAATTTGTTTCTGACCTGATTTGATTGCTTTATCAAATAAGTCTGATAAACTTTGTTCAGAGCCCGGAACCATATCCTGTATACAAGACTTACTGTTATTCGAATATGTGGAGTTGATTTCGGAAACAATACCTTGTACTTGATTACAAGTCATCTCTTGTATTAAACCTTCTACGATTTGATTATCAGATTCGGATAATTCAGCCGTGCTGGCGATGCCAATGGAGACGGTATCAGAATTATCAAGGGTGTTTTGATCGTGACATTTTGTCACGGTTTTTGTAGCACATAATGATGGGGGTGTCATCTTTTTAGATTCCGTTTGATTAACTAAAGATAAGTCTTGATCTCGAAGTTTTTTCTCCCTAATTCTTTCCATTATCTCTTTGCTAACCCGTTCCTTATACATTGAATCCAGAATTTCATTTTCTTCTTTCTCTTCCAATAATATGGTCGCGGGGATAAGAGATGTGGAGGTCTCTAATTCCTGTTGTATATCGGAATTGCCGGAGGTAGACACTTCGTGGCTAGATATGATAGATTCCTCAATACGTGGGACTATCTGTTCATGAGTATCTTTGCCGGAGGCAGTCACAAAGTGGCTAGAATTTGAAGTAATATCAGATATATTAGATGCCGAAGCATTCTCAGTTTGTAATTCTATCTGTTCGGGGATATCGTTAGAATTTTTCATTTCGGTAGAAACACTTACTATCTTTTTCTCGGCTAATGAGGAAATTGGCAATTGGTCTGGAGAGTCGATGATTATTCCCTTTGATTTTATTTCCTCGAAATCATGTCTTAATTTTGCTACTTCGGTTTTAAGCTCAGCATTCTCGGAAGCAGTATCTGTTCTACTTTTTTCCAACTCCTCAATTCGGCTCTTAAACTCTGCATCACGTCTAGAATTCTCTTCAATAATCTGTCTCAACCTCTCGTTTTCAGCTTCAACTTCGGCAAACTTTAGCAATTTATTTCTAAGTTCGGAAATTTCAGCATTTTCGGTCTCAAGATCAATGATTCGTCGTCTCAATAAATCTATTTCAGATAGGTCATTAGGCTTGTTCCTTTGATCTTGCATGTTTAATATTAATTTATATAACTTTATTACAAATGTTTGGAAAAGGATTTTTATTGACCACGTCTTGAAAAATGTTTTTTTATTAGTTAATGCCTTTAATTTCAAATAGAAATCACGTAATATATCAACTAGACGTGAGCCAGCCTCCGGCTAATAATCAAAAATATATACACGTGGGCATTGTTCACACTGATCACTTTTGCCGAGAAAATTCTTGATCGTGACATTTTGTCACGGTTTTTTGCCAAGAAAAATTCCCGATCATATACATCGATATCAATACAACGTAATAAATCCCGAAATACACATGTAAAAGTAAACACGATTAATTATACGAAATCAGCCACCAGGGCTAGCTTTATTAGTTATAAAAATCGAAAAGAATACTATACACAAAATACATGATAAAAATATAAAAAAATGGATTAATCATCTCGACAATGTTTGGGGCATCCTCCTGTACATTCATTGTTATCGTCATCACCACCACCGCCATTGTCGAAAAAATCAAAATCATCATATGATAGTCGTCGTGGTGAGGGGTGTCGTGGCGATGGTTGTCGTGATGGTGATGGTACTTGTGATGGTCGTGGTGATTGTTGTGGTGATTGTTGTGGTGATTGTCGTGGTGATTGTCGTGGTGATGGTCGTGGTTGTGATGATTTATTTTTCTTTCGATATTTTTTAGTTACACGGCCACAATTATAGCTAGGGGGGTTGGGTCTTCTTGTGCGAAGATTATATGTTGGTGGTGGTGGTGATGTTGTTGCTACTGCCGATGATGAAGATGAAGAAGAAGAAGATGATGATGATGGTGTTGCTTTTGTTATTGTTGTTGCTACTGCTGGTGGTGATGATGATGATGGCGATGATATTGTTGTATTATTATCATTATTGTTGTTACTATTATTACCTTCACCAACATTGTCAATATTACCGCTATTGTCATTATTATTGTTATTGTTATTATTATTATTGTTATTATTATCTTCAAAAAAATCAAAAAAAATCATCACCATTATCAACATTATTATTTTCATTATCATTATTATTATTATCGTTATTATCATCATTGTTATTATTGTCATTATTATTGACATCTTTGTGATCATTGTTATTGTAATCATCACGTATCGATGATGGTGATGGTGATTTTGGCGATGATGATGCTACTGGTAGTGATGATGATGATGCTGATGATGATGCTACTGGTGGTTGCAATGATTTCCTTTTCTTGCTGGCCTTTTTCCACAAGCTATTTGTTTTTTCGATATCAGTCTATAAAAAGCAAAACCAGATGAGAAAAATTTCCCAGTAAGCACAATCATACAAAAATAAGATTAGATGGCGGGTGCAGGAATATATCAATAGATAAATTTTCATTAAGTGGACATCCGTGTGAACTGGTGAGAAATTTTCGTTTTTTGGAATCGGATTTCCGTCTTGACATTCTTATATATTTCCCGGAGCATGGTGGTATTTGATTTTATCTACCGGAGGACACAAAAGTTTCTCCTCTTCTTTTCTGGAAATGCTGAAGAATATTCTACTTCATTGGCGAATGCCCACTTACTGGTGAGAAATTTCCGTCTTGACATTCTTATATATTTCCCAGAGCATGGTGATATTTGATTTTATCTACCGGAGGACACAAAAGTTTCTCCTCTTCTTTTCTAGAAATGCTGAAGAATATTCTACTTCATTGGCGAATGCCCACTTAATGTAAAGAAAGGCATAGTTGAAACCTCCTTCAGAATCAACAGATCTTTACTGAAAATTTAGATCAATAAATTCCATGATGTTTGTCAGACGTTCCAACAAACGCATCCATTTCAGTACTTGCATAGTTCCTACTAGCAGTTCCAATAGGTACAAGCACCTGGCCATAAGGCCCCATCTAATCTTATTAATTATATTTATTATACCTACCTTTTTATTATTTATAAGTTTTTGAGCGATATCTCGAATTTCTTGCGACATACACAAATTATTAATAATACTGTGCAGAGTATCAAAAAATAATAAATGTGCTGTATCTTTCTCAGTGAACTTATAGTTGTCAATTATGAGAGAGACGTAGTTATGAAGGGACCAGTTTTCATACGAGCAAAACTCGAAATACTTGATATACGGGATATCTTTACGTGCAGTTAAATTTCCTCGAAAGTTAATTTCAGACATAATAAAAATGTAACTAGGAAGAGACGCGTAACATTACGTGTGTATTTAAGTTTTCACACAGATATACATGTTAATTAAATTCAGATGATGCATGCAGGTTCTACTACATTCGAATTTCTTCTATAGTACATATCACATGATAGGTTAATTATTTTAACGATGACAAGTTATACAAGTTATTACTAACTATAAACTGTGCTATTGTTATACAATAAATATATTGCGAGAAAATTACGTGGTGTGTTAACGACATTGCTCATGTTAAAAATTTCACAGTGAAATTCATGAACCAGTTTTAGTACTTATATCCGAGAATAAGCTATATGTCCGAAATAGACTCCCCATTCACGATCTACCATGACTATCATTCGTTGATTTCATATGCTCTGTCAATCGTCATAAGTAATCGTTTATAAGTGAATAATATCTATTGCAAAGCAATGGGGTTCGTCTTACATAAGTGATTTTAGATATCATAGATATCAGCTCTGCTATAACGGAGTTAGGCTCGGAGAGCCATTTCTTTGAAATAGTGTCAAGACACATATAAATACCAATACCCGAACTCGAGATTCTTTACTTTTTCCAAAATTTCAACGACGTCCCATCACCAAAAATAATTTTTTTATAACAAATTTTATCGTAACAAATATAACCCGCCTTCTCATGGCCAAGCCCACTCGAAGCCTTTTTTTCTCGTGAACTCGAAAAAAGATATTAGCATATGGTAACAGCTCCACTATATAATTATCCCGACCATGAATGAACAAAGTGAAATGAATTGTCGGGGCAGATAACATATACTTCTTTGCTGATAAGCTCGAAGAGCACCACTATATGGCATGAACAAACGAAGTGTAGTAAATTGGCGGGATATCGACAAATAGAAGATAATTTTGAGTTGGATCTGAGAAATAGAGTGTTTTATCTGAGATAGATACTAAAGAGCTAAAAGATGATGAGCTAGAAAGATTAACAATATTCTCAACAGTAGATAGTCTCGATTCTGTGTCCTTATATATTGAAACAACTTCTTTATCTTTTAAGCATAAACTTAAATCAACAAAAATTGAATCGCATATTTATAATGTATAAAGTTATTAAATCTAATAGGTCTAATCCCCCCTAAATACGATATAAATTACATAATCTCTAAAAACACTTAATCGTTAAATATGGTCTATACAGATGGTTGTCCAGTTTTAAACGATATTGAGTGGAGAGATAATTGTCAATTTCCAGTGATCCGTAAAGGTGAAACTCCATCCGATTGGATGAAACGAATCTGGGATCAGTTAATGAATTATAGAAAAAATAATTGTTTAGTTGAATCTCATAAGCGATATATGGTTGCTAGGAAGATGGTATATTTATGGGAAGGTGATCTTGGCAGTGCTTTTGAAGTGAATATTGCAATATGTCATAGTTGCGATCAGCTCGTTTATGTTGATCGGAAATGTATTTATGGAGAATATCATGGATCTACAATCGAAAAGCATTGGAGTACAAATTGCATAGGAAACACATATTGTGATATTAGTTATAAAGACTATATGGAACTTAAAAGCAGATCCGAAGCTAATAACACCTACTTCGAAAAAAAAGCGATTTGTCGTTATGAATTGTGGATGCAGAATGCTATTAGAAGAGTTAAACGTGCAAGAGAAATCGGTAGAAAGATCCAGGCATGTATTACTATACAAAGAAAGGTTGTTGAATGGATTTATCGCCCTGATGGTATGACGGTCAAGCAGTTATCCGAGCATTACCAATTATTATGGGTGGTTCAAGAAGAGATGCGTCAAATTAATAATGTATAATACACATATCTATTTATTCGATTAATATATTTATTTATTTATAACATATTTATATATAGCTATTTTTTTCTTGATGTATGTTTCATAATTTTTATATGTCAACCTGTTTTATGGATCACAAAAATTCTTAGTGTAGATAATAGATCGTACTTGTTATTTTTATATCTACTTAAATTTCACATCGGCTGGAGACGATCAGCTTCTTGATAGAAGTGGCTAATAAGATGTATTTATATTAATACAACAAAATTATAGCTGAAAAAATAATAATAAATATATACTTTATCACTTGTTTTACTTGTTTAATTTTAATGTAATGAGTATAGCAGAGCTAGTGTCTCTGACACATTATATTTTTTATTTTATCAGAATATACATATACAAAAAATAATAATCCCAGTAACTGCTTAAAGCCAGAAAAAGTAAATAATTATATTTGATCAATTAATATATAATAATATTTTTAAGTATATAAGTTAACTATATATCTTTTTCGAAAAAAGGGTATGGAACATTATAGTCTTCGTAATCCAGATATCTATCAAGAAAACAAAATCCGAACTGAAAAAAAAATTAAAAAACACGTTGATCACCCACCAAATTATGGACCAATCAGATTCAGAAAAAATGAAATATATGGGGCACACGACGCGTGTGTAATTATTTGATTTTCAAAAAAAAATGTCAGAAGAATATTATCACGGTTATACGTGTAAGTTATATTTGCAACCTACTTCCCAATACTCTCTTCACTAACCAGTCATCTCTTTAGCAATTTGTTCTTACATAAGAAGTCGTAATGAGGATTGTTCATTTCGCGAGTTTGTAGAACTATATAAAGAAATGATTATAGAATCTCCACCGAATACTGATGACTGGACTGGTTTAGAAGTTGCCTGGAGGACAAGATTCTTAGGAAACGTAGAACGTATAATTCCTGAAAAATACGTTGATATAGACGCAAAGGTTATGTATCTACTTTTTTAAAAAATCTAAATAGAGGGAGCTCTTGGTCGGTGATCGGCAGATCAAGGGTATTCCGTGATCGGCGGGCCCAAGTGATGGTGGTTGCGCTCCTGGTCAATGATCGGTTGACTTTGAGTATCTGGTGATCGGCAAGGCGCTATCATTGCGTTTTCATGATTGATATTTGCATCTTCATAGACTTCACAATTATTAATATCCACGAAAATATGTTACTAATTATTTTTTTATTATAAAAAGGTGGTATCAGAAACTTCGAAAAAGTCTTTAATGAGTTATTGGCAAAATATTATTAATGAAAAACGACGAGTAAGATTGATCACAATTTAATCTCGCTTTATTACTGGTATATTTATTAATTTTGTTCATTATATAATGATATATAGATATCCGTAATCAATAATCATATATCTGGTAGCCTAAAAATATTGGAAGCAACGGCTAAGCATAGTTCAGATACAGTCGTTTCGAAAATTTCGAGTTTTTCTTCACATGAGGATCAAGAATTTCAAGCGATGGATGCAGATTCACTACCAAAAAAACGTTCCCGCACCGAAAAAGAAGACGCTACGCAGGAAGATTTATTAAACTCTGTAACAGAAGCCTCCAATACCTTCAGCAAGATTGACTTCCCTACATATTATGATAAACTTAAAACTATATGGCATACCAATGATGCCGAAGCAAATTATTATGTGATCGACTTAGGGGATGTTGATATTTTAAGTAAAACACGTGAACTTTTAGATGATGAAGAATTAAAATCATTGTTTGAAAGATTGACCTTGGATGATGAAAATAATCATATAAGCACAAAAGCGAGTGAATATTTGACGTTATTCGATCAACTTATAGAATATCCTTTGGAGGGAAAAGCTACCGAGGATGACAATACAGAGAAAAATATCAAAGATAAAGTTATTTCTGAAATAGAAGAAACAATACATGGTCTAAATGATATACCCACAAAATTTCGATACCTATCAAACACTCTCCCCCTTCCAGTACTGCAGTTCGATCAATCTCAATATTCTGATCTCTATATTATTAAAAGCATATCAAGTCATATAGACGGTTTTACAAAAATGAAAGGAATTCTAGAAAACACATCGGAGCGATCTTGGACAGCACATATCCTTTCGTATTTTTTTTTTATTACTTTTAGTTTCCTGGATTCTATACAATACTTTTCATGTGAACGAACAATTCCTACAAAATTGGATTTGCAAGTTACTGACTATAAGGCAGATGGTGTTGCAGAATTCTTCAAACGGCCCAACCAAATCCCAATGTTTTTGCTTGAAGTTTCTGGTGACCCTAATAAACCGGATCCTGATAAATTCAACAACGACAGACAAAAATTAATGAAGGAAGGTGTTTTTGCTCTCAACAAGTTTATGACGCGAACAAAACTGCCAACATGGGATGTTTGTAAAACTTTGGGAATTTTCCTGGCGCAGGGATATAGTAAGCTATTATCAAAATATTTTCGTGTATAAAGTGTTTATTTATTTTAACATTTAATATACTATTATAGGCAACAATCTTGAGATTGGTCAAATGATCTATATTGGACCTGGTTTATATTTTTACTCCCCATTTACGGTCCCGAGTCTCATTATCCCAACTTCTGACACTGAATTGGAACATACGCCTCGACTAATTCGAACATTTTTATGCTTGAGATTTAATGTTATTGAGAAGATCAAGAGGTTTAAAGAATTCGAAAGAAGAGGATATTTACGTGTTATGAAACCCATGACTAAGTATGCCACTGGGCTAACACCAGAACGGCCTAGGGTTGTGACGTTTGCACAATTTTTACCAAAAATATCAAAAGCGATAACTATTAAAGGAGAAAGAGGAAGGGGAAGAGGAAGGGGAAAAGGTAGAGGTCGTGGTTCTATATAAATTTTTTTTTTAGAATTAGATGTGCGATCTACGTGTATTAATGCAACGTATCAAAAATAGTACTTTTTCTATATAACATTGTAACATGTGATTGATTAAAAAATAAAAAATAGGTACTTTTGTATTTGGAATCCAATTTTCCGTTTGCGTATTGCTACATAATTGCATTTAAAGTTTTACCTCTATTCAATGAGACCCATTCTCGAAGATGCTCTGGGATAACTATATATGGGTCTTCGTAGTACCAGACATATCTTAAAACGATCCAGTTTTCTTCGCACAATTCTTTCTTGAGTTGATCCCGTGCTTGCTGTTTGATAAAATTATCAGGATCTCCTCTATGAAAGAATTCAATATATTTTTCGTGCTGTTGCCCTTGTACTTCAATTGCAAAGCCGTAATTATAGTAGGGAATATCAAGTTGCAATCCTGTTTTATACTCTGGTGTTTTTAAGAAATCAGGTTTGCGATTTTTTGATGGCTCCCCTAAATATTTTGATACGATTTCACGACATAGATTCTCACGTTTATATTTTGAGCAATAGGGACACCATGTATTAACATTTTTAATACTTGACAATGAAGAATTCCATTCATGACCTTTGACACATTTCCATCGTAGGTGGGATTTACCATTAATATATTTATTTGAAATACACTCTCCACCTTTATTAAATGCAATCATTTTAGCAATATCAAGAGTATTCTTAGCTTGGCCCGCGCAATATGGACACCATGTGTTACTATTTTTAACATTATTAAAAGTTGCATACCATTTATGACCTTTGACACAGCTCCACAATAGTTTAGTCTCACAATTTTTATATTCGGTTGAAAGACATTTTCCATTTCTATTATATGCGATATGTTTGACATCTTCAAGAGTATATCGAACGTTACATACACAATACGGGCACCATGTATTACGTTTGTTTACATTTTTAAAAGTTGCATACCATTTATGATTTTTTGCGCAACTCCATAATAGTTTAGTATTACAATTTTTATATTCGGTTGAAAGGCATTGTCCATTCATTTTAGATGCGTATTTTTTACAATCTTCAATACTATGACTTCGGATTTGAGAGCATAGCCTACACCACGTACCTTGATTTTTTATATTTCCCAAATTTGTATACCAAATGTGATTTTTAGAACATTTCCATTTTAAAGGTTCTCTGCTATTTACATAAGATATTGATAAACACTCTCCATTTTTATTATATGCTATTTGTTTAGCAATTTCAAGATTAAGATGTCTTTTGTGACTACAATCTGGACACCATGAACCTTGATTTTTGATATGACGAAATTTGGCAGTCCATTGGTGATTTTTATTGCATTCCCATAGCATTGGAGTTTCACAATTAATATATTCTTTGGAAAGACATTTCCCTTCTCGCGATTTAGCTATTTTTATTGCATCATTCAAAGATAATTTATTAGTCATTGTTGTAGGTAGCAGTTGTATTATTTTTTAATAATTATCTTACTTTTAATTATTGTTTTATTAAACGAAATCCAATGACTGAAAGGGAAGCTAGTACTATAAATCCTATAGTCGAGTTATTTTTAAGACATGAAGTTAATAGATATCAGAAAAAATTAAAGCACCAACGAAAAAGCTGGCCACTTGATAATTTATCAAACATATATAATAACGAAACTAGTACTAAGATATCTATAGACATGGTTAACCAAGAATCCCAAACCCAAGATACTGTCCCGATTTGTGAACATGAGGAGGAGATCAGTTGTCGTGTTAAGAAAAAATTAGATAGTTTATCTCGACAATTGCTTGAATTCAATGAAAAAACTTTTGACCCTTTTATGCAAGAAATTACTAAACGGATTGAGGAGCAGGATAATGCTAATAATGAATTGCGCAGTGAAATTGATCAACAGAAGTTGTTATTGCAAGAGACCGAAAGAAAGCTTGAAATCTTGAAATCGAAATCTACTTATTAATAGATATTTTAGTATAACTGAAAAAAAAAATAATTATGTGTTAAAGGCATTGGTTTCACATTATTATTGCTTATTTTACGTATCTAATATTATATCTAATGTTGGTTTTTTGCTTATCTAATATTATATCTAATGTTGGTTTTTTGCTTAATAGGAAGTGGATTGATTCTTTGGATATACGCCAGCAGTCTCCCACATCGAGAACTAGCAAATTAGAACAATAATGCGCAATATCGTATATTGTTTTATCAGTAATATAAGTACGATGAAGAATAAGATATTGAATATTTGCGCATGAACGGACTATATCACACACAGCATCGTCAGTCATATAGTAATTGGAAGATAAATCCAGGTGTCGAAGATTTACACATGAGCGTGCAATTGCACAAAATGATATATCTTTGATACGATGATGGGAAGAGAGGTTTAAATATATTAGATTGGGACAAAATTGTGCTATTTCAATCACAGATGCACCAGTAACGTTTAGACTACATATGGAGGCGAAGTGTATATATTCTAATTTTGGGCAAGATCGCACTATTTCACTAATGCATCTATCAGTAATGGCTTTACATGCATCAAAACTCAGATGTAGCAATTTTGGACAACATCTTGCAATTTCTATAATTGGTATATTACTAAAACCATAACTTCGATCAAGAATAAGAGTGTGTATATTTGGGCATAAACGCAAAATTGCACTGAGTAATGTATCTGAGATTTTTAAACCCGCCAATTTGAGATATACCATATTTGAGCAATAGAGATGTTTTGTCTTTCCACACATAACTCTTTTAATCTTCATCAATCTCCAATAAAGAGGTCCAGATGTATTTTTACCACATTGGTTCTGTCGATAACCTTCTACGGAAAACTCAATGCGTCTCCATAGAATTGGAACACTGCAATGATACCAAAGGTGATTGACAAATAAAGTAGGATAGAGCGCTTTATCCTTGGCTAAGAAACTGAATATGTTTTCGAGCAACTCTGGAATAATGAAAGGGTGGGTCATGTTTACTTCTTATATATGTATTAAGAAACTTGAAGTGGTTTTTATATCTCTGATATCCCACTTTATTCATCCAATTTCAATGGGATACCCCATCTCAATCTAACTGCTAGGGGATCGTCAACTGCTCTAGTAAAATCAAAGACCACAAAACACTGTAAATATATTACTCAATTACCTGTTCCACATATCCTGCAACTGTTTACTTTTTTTACCTATACCCCATTCACGTCTAAATACCACGAACCATATAACAGCAATAATCAAGATAAGTAACATATATGCCGATAGCGGTGACACCAAACTACTTGTCACAATAGGAATTGCTTCTATTCCTCCTACCGAAATCTGCGGATCTGAATTTATATATGTGTTTAGCATAATATCTTTACTAGTTTCAGTTGCGTTAGCAACCTCATTCCATGAGTCACTTACCTTGGGTATAGGGATGACTCTGTCATCATCATCGATTTTTTCGATATCTTCTATATTTTTTCTGCGTGCGAGATACGGTCTAAGACTATTGCTAGATTTCGAATCATGACCTAAAGGATCTATAGATATATTAGATGCAAAAACATCCTCACTCTGTGAGTCAGACTTGGCTATATTTTTTTCGTCATCTCCACCAACTATAGCCTCCGATTTCAGGTGATCGAGTTTGCTTCTTACATGTTCCAATTCATCTTCTATTTGTTTAAACTCAACCATTTTAGATTTAAGGGATAGATTCTCAGATTCTGTTTTTGATAAGTTTTCCTGA